TTAAGTTCGTTGAAGTGGCTACTGAATCTGTCAATATCCTAGAAGAATATGGCTTGCTATAAAAGGAGTGGCAATTTTAGGCATATATATATAAAAAAAGACAAAACTTGAAATGGGAATGGAAACAGAATAAGAGAAGACTGAGAGATTTTTGATCAGGAAAAAAATTCTTTGTTAAGAGCAGTTTTAATAAAATACAGTTTATATTTTCAATAATAATTAGTTCATATAAGCTCAAATATGACTAATTCATGAGAGGGACACAAATATATTATCTTTAAAATTACAGCAAATTTGAATTATAGCTTACATACAGTATATACAATTCTATTTGTGTCAACCAAAATGAGCAATCAATTCTTAGATACATTCCAAGTTTTGGTCAGACAAATTTGGTCTATGCAAATAAGATTGTAAGATGCAGAACAAGACATTGTTCTATGAAATGGGATTCCATCTTTATAATTCAAAATCATATCATCAAAAAAGACCCAGAAAATCACCTTGAAGAATTCTGTTGTTCCAATATACGTTGTTGAGTTTCCCAATTTGACTTTTCATCTTCAAACTGACGTCTTTTTTCCTCCAGTTCTTTGTGTTGGGCCTCCAAATTCTTTTTCATCTGCTCATGACGTCGCTGAAGCTAAGGAAAAACATATTGAATATGATTACTCATTTTTGATTAAAAATACATTTTAAATTGTAATTTAAAAAAATTAGTTTCCAATAATATTGTATGCAATTAGGATGGAAGTCCATTCTTGCAATGCTTCAGAAGTTTCATTCTCCAAGCCTTGTGCTATTTGGAAAAGGAGACTTCTGAAGCAGGGCAGAGAAAAATGGCAAAAGTAAGTGGGGCACTTTGCACATGCTGATTGGTCAGGGGCAAATCATGAGTGGCCTACAATGGACTTCCCATACCATCTTATCTGGATCTCCATCTGCTTAATAACTGCAACAGAGAGAGTTGAGATTGCAATCATTGAGCAAAGTGGTGACATGAAATCTTGCTTAGCAACTATTTCACTCAACAACTGAGATTCTGGCCCCAATTGTGGTTGAAAGTTGAGGACTATTTATAATTGTTACTATCAAAAGGCCATAAAACCTGAAAATGCCCGCACAGATTTTTGTAACGTATGATAAATTTCAGTATCATCTAACAGCCCATGGGTATATATATACATACCCTCAAATTAGTCTCGACTCTTGGTAACTGCCTGAGTAAGTCCTTGCAGTTTTCTTTGTAACATTTTCAGAAATATTTTGCTTCTGCCTCCTTTTTAGGATTGAGAGAAAGTGACTGGGCCAAGGTCACCCAGCTGCTATGTGTTTAAGACAGAGCTCTATCTGTCACAGTTTCTAGCCTGGTGCCTTAACCACTACAAGCAGATTGATTCTTCCTATCAGTCTAACAGCTCTATAAAAAATTAAAGTTATGGACACTTTAATAAACAAGATTTGGACTGGACATCTCTCCCCCCCAATTTACTCCTGGGTGGACAATTAATTTTCCCAAGGAGCCACATGAGAAACTGGGATTATTGTAGAGGGGTTGGGCTCTTCACAACCCGCAACTCTCAACCCTACCTGCCTGCTGGCCCTAACCTGCATGGCATCTTTTCTACACTCTCAAGCATCTTTCCTAACCCATACACCACTTTACACACCATCTCCCATTACTGTGAAAGCTTTCCCATATTTCTGTGACTCCCAAAGCACCCTTCTTGAACTGTGTCACCTCCCAGTAGATCCTATCTTTGGCATGCATTTCTATAACCCCCTCCCACAACCTGACCAACAATTCTTGCATATCCCTATCCACTGTTAAAAATAATATCAAAATTGTTAAGAGAAATGCAAGCAGTTCTCAACTTAAAAGCATACTTAAGTCTGGAATTATGATTGTAAATCAATATACTGAATGACTGGACCCAATTTTCCAGTGTTATGTGAATATTGCAGTCATTAAGCAAATCTATTTTCTCCAATGAACTTTTTTTGCCAGAAATTGAAAGTAAACTCTAGAAACTGTCAAAAATGTTTTGTAGTCATGTGAGCCATCCAGGACCTGAAGTTGCTAACAGCCAGTTGTGTTATTCAAATGGTCTTTGGCCAACCCAACACATTACTTTTGTTTAGTACTTTTGTTAATGGAAGACTCATAGTAATAAGGAGTGGCCTGCAGATCTTGAAAATTCTCTGAAGAGAATCTACAATTTTTCTTTCTGGAGACTACAGAGATGTCTTTTGATTGAGGCATTTTTTACTTTCACAAACTTGTGAAAGAGCAAACTCTATGGCAGTAAACAACATCAAACTATCAGTTAATTCTCCTTTTATCTGACTCATCCCTTTAGGAGAATTGATCATCCTACAGTTTTACCACTTTTTCCAAAAGACAGTGAATGTTGGTTCAACGTATTCAGGTACAGATATGATACAATTTACTGTTTTGGTGTTATTTAACCAGAATCCCTATCTATTAACAGGACCTAAATGAAATTCTTATTGCACTGTAGGTTACAATATTGCAAGATTATAAATAATTCTAAAACCTTCACAAATTGTACATGCGATGACCAACTTATTATGTTAAACAAATCCACCCTTAGTGTAAAGCAAATTATACTGTACATATTTAATTAAAAATAAGAACCACTGAATTAAATGAGATTATTACAAAGTAAACAGGCACATATTTTGCTACCTGAGTATTTGTCTCATATCTCTGAAAACATGAGGATGTAATTGTCTATGCCTTTGTGAGGCAATGATTTCTGTGCATTTATGAAAAATCAATTAATTTTACAAGTAAGACACTTTATTTGTATAGGCAATTAAAGTTAATGAGGATTAAAAATTAAATTATATCCAAATTTTACCCTTTCTGTTCTAACATTCTTTTTTATGTATAGCTTGACTAAGCAGTATTTACATATTAAGTTCCAAACATATATAAATGGAACACATACAAATGTTTCTGGGGGGGAAATTTTTAGTTTTTAAAGAAATTGGCAACTCTTGTTAACAAAACAGAGAAGCCAGGAAGTACAGAATAGTTTTGGGGTTTGTTCACTCATTTTTTAAAAAAATCTAATCTTCCTTGGATGGAGAGAACATATCCTTTTCCTTTTAGATTCTTTCTGTTGTATCTCGTTTTAAGATGAATTTTATATAAAACCCAATTTAGATGACTAGAACAATGATATTTATGGATGTCTTGTTTTTTTTACTCTGGCATAAACCTTTAACATCATGTTTAAAGTCCTTTAATAGGATATCAACCACATTCATCATCTTATTTTGCAGTCCAAACTCTAATCCATTGTGAGGAAAATAAATCTGAAATTCAGCTTAGTATATTTATTTTTCCATTTTATCATTCCAGAATCATTTTATCCCCTTTCATCAAAATAGGCCAAATGTTTCACAAAAGCCTCTCCAGTGATATAGTTGTATTACCTCTGTGCCTTGCTACTTGGTGCAATGACAACCCATTTGTTGTAAGAGGCCATTAGGAGTTAGACCTATCTCTCATGGTACATAGGAAATTACTCTGATTTCCCTTACACATCCATGGATGTTTAGTTATCCTTAGAGTAGCACAACCCCAGTTATATATTAATACTATATTACTTGTAATTACTTTATTCAGTTGATGCTAGATTGCAATTTTTTTTTTCAAGCTATACATACCTCAGCTTCAGAGTCTTTCAGTTTCTGAACCTTTTCTTTGACCTTCATTTCAAATACCTGCTCCATTTCCATTTCCATTTTCTTCATTTTTGCCACATGCTCCCGCCTTTCTTCTTCCATTTGTGCCAGAGGGCTCCTGCAATAAATAAAAACAGACAATTATATTCAATTTTATTTTGCAAATACTTCATTGGTGAGAAACATACATCAATAACAATCAAGCAACATTCTAATTAAAGTAACCCAGAGTTAAGACGCAGCTAACCAACAGGATTTAAATGCCTGACATTCTTGTGTTCTATACTGAAAAATAACATAAAACACTAGTTTAGGAGAGAATGAAATCATCTGATGTTTTATTTACAGTTGTATAAAAAACAATTATTCTAAAATGTTAAAAATACTATGCTGGGCTAGTGGGTATCAATATCATAGGTATATAATGGACATCCTTCAGAAACAGTGTACTCTGAAATAAATGCTCATCGTATCACTGTTTATCAGTTGGCTTAACTTGGAACCAGAATTCTGCTGCTATTCCTCTTACATTTAGACACACAAACACACACTGAGGGTTTGAAGCCTGTGGTACCAATTAAACAGTAGCCATCCAGTCTGCTGTCAAATTTTTGTGATAAAAGAAAATGCTATCTATTGGTTGGTGCCACAATTTGACAATTATAGCAGGCAAATGAATTTATTTTTTTTGATATTAGCTAAGACAGAATCCAGGAAAAAAGGGAGGATGAAAGAAAGAAAAAAAAAGAACATTGAGAAATAAGTATTCAATCAAATCTAAATAGATTGACAAAAATGAGAAAAGATGAGACTAAATCAACATAGGAAAGAAGTGGTAAGCAAATATTAGAGAAGATAGAGGAAAAGTAATCAGACAAATATATTTAGAACATGGTACCCTTAAATATGTTACAACTAAAATTCTTTGGAAGGTGTCAGTTTGGGGAAGGATATGGTCTAGGTTCTCAAAGGAAAATTATTCGAGGTATGCCTTTTTCTATTACTACAGCACTATGATATAGCAATCTTAACAAAAAATTTAGAAGAAAAAATGGAGAAGAACTTTCTTGGTGTATTGGTTATTATCCCCAAGTAAAATAGACTTCAATGTAAAATAAGAACTTTCAACAACCCTCTTGCAATGCTTTAGAGCTGTATTAATGAGTCACTGCTTCTGGAAAAAGGGCAATAGAATTTGGAGTTTGTGTTTGTGCAACTAGCAACAGGATTCTAAAACTCAGCCAATAGCTTTGTGTGTTTGATATACAGAAGTGTATATCATAAAGCTTCTTGAAACTCCTTGTTCTGAGTATGAATGCTATCTCAAGTTCAAAGACAACTATTTCAAACATTTCAGCTTGAAACGTTTTGTAAATGTATTCATTTATTTTATTTAAGAGAATTTATATGGCTGTCCACTCACTGAGTGACTCTTGGTGGCTTACAAAAAATAATACTTGAAATTGACCAAATTCACATTCAAAACAATTCAAAATGAATCATTTTTCATAGGAGTCCTTTTATGAATCCATATCATAAACAGGTTTAAACAGTAGAAAATGCTCAAGGTTTTAATCTGAACATACCAAATTCTGCATACTTTGTATTGTTTAAGAACAAAAAAAAACCAGATATGCCCCAAATTATAAATGTACAATTTCCTACCACTAGCCTTGATATTCATGCAACATAAAATAAGAAAAAAATGTAAGTAAAGAAAAAAACTAAGTCTTTAAAATCCAATCTGATCTTCATGATATCACCAGAATTATACTATGCTAACATTTCTTAAAGATTTTGTTTAAAATTGTAGTTACAGTAAAACTTCAGATAATGTCTGCCAGTTTTCTATTTACAAAATTATCCAGGAATGTAAGGAAGAACTGAATCAATCTATATTCCTAAAATCAGACTAAAGTGGATAAATTGATTGAAGAAAAGAGAATACCTTTGTTTAGTAATACTATTTATCTGTTTGAATATTAAAAAAACAAATAATTCTTATCCCCTACCAAAATATACATAGAGACAACTCTCTTGAACTCAGAGAAAACATTATCATAAATCACAAAACAGAACAGCCACTTCAATGAGAAAAACCTTAAGCGTTAGTTTTATTTCAACGAGGACAAAGCAGCAAGTAAATTAAATATATTCAAATTCAAATGGAGAAAATGGAAGATGAAGTGAGAGAAAGAATGTATTATTTACTAAATTATTATACTGGGAAACTAAGCATTTAGAACTAGAGAATGAAGAAGTCACAGGATTCTTGTAAAGAATGAAGATTTTATGAGAATAACTACAGAGTTCCTATTTTCTAAGCCAAATCCAAATTTAACTGAAATATTTTGTTCAACAAAATTAAAAGTGTACTTAAAATGGATCAATGTGTACTGCAGGGATCCCCCCAACATAACTACTATTATATTATCTGTATTTTAATAAACTAGCCCTTTCTGAAGACTGTCATTAAATTATACAGTTTCTAGAATCCAACACATCAAGAATGTGCTCTGCTAGTTTACAGTTCACATATTTATCAAAAAAATAATCCAAAAACAAAACCATCAACCCAACACTTGATCTTTTTAAACAGATACATTCACTAAATATATACAATTTCCAGCACCTATCAATATGCAAAATTTTATCAATTCAACGAAGACGGGGGAAAAACTAACTTGCTGAGATTTCTTTAAAATTGTTTTTCCTTTTCCTAATCCCTGACAATAGAAATTATAAAACCTAACCCTTGAAAAGTAATTCTGGAAAATTAACTAAATATTTGACAGAAATAAAAATATATTTGAGTATTTCATCCCAGAAAGAATTTTTAATCTGAGAGGAGTCTCTGGCCTCACTTGCTAATAAAATACATAAATGAGCAGGATATAGTATCTTTCACACTCAAATAGCTGTGTATTGAGGAAAAGGGGAAAATTTTAAAAGACATCTGGGCACATTGTAATGATATTCAATACTGCTTAATTACTTGTTCTCTGTATTGTGCAAAAATTGGATGCATATGACCAGTTAAACACAAAGCAAAATAGTAATTATCCTATGAGCATAAAACCAAAAGATGAATCTTTGTAAATCATTTCTGAGCCTTCTTTGTCTTCATAAGATAGTGCTTACATGCTCAGATAATCTCTTTAACTTAAGAGATAAAATATAAGCTTGACATGTTTTCCAAGTACTATTTCATATAATAGAATTAATAATGTATTTTATACCCAATTACAGCCAAATCACTTTCTAGACTTTGTGAATAAAGGTGCTCTTTAGTTCTCATAAATGTTTAACCACGTATTAGGGAAATTTTAGAATAAAAGAAACATGAAAGCAAAATAAAATGCACAAGCTGAAATTAAAGTTTTAAATGTTACACTTAACATTTAAAGCCTTGTTTTTTAAATCTCTTAAGTCTTTTGAAAAATGGAAATGACCACTTACATGCCTTCAACTGTGTCAAATCTAAAAAAAAAATATACAAAAGCTTAGCATGCTTAAATAAAACCACGAAAATAAAAAGCAGCAATTTAAAAAAAGCAAATTCATTATGGATTTTTTTCTATGCTCTTCTCAAGCAAGATCTCCATCATACTGGTAGATGGTTAGTTAAAGCTAGGCTTTAAATATTCTGTTAGTCAAGTGTTGCACACAATTAATGCAACTGCTGTGCAAAGCTTTCAAAACTCTTTGCCTACATTAGTATGCCCAGAATTATGCATGCTTTTTTAAAAGAGGACTAAATATTCATCTAATTAACAACTCAAAGCAAACCTCAATGTACAACTCTCTTTCGGCCTATGCTATTCACAGGTATATTGAAATGCAACATTGCAGACACTTCATTTGACTGACCACATCAAAGGTATATTTCTGAAAAATACTTACAATTAATTAATTTCAGATAATACTATAAGCAAAATACAATAGGATATATAAATGGCAACTTTTGTTTTGATAAAACAGAACTCAATTATATTCACTACTGATTAACAAAGCCAGAATAAGAACTCAAGTTTAACAGTATATTTTGACTGCAGGTTCAGTGTATTGAAACAACTTCGGCACAAACTTAAAAAATATTCCATAAATTGAGATAGACTGATATGTCTGACTTAAAAAGTATGATTTTCTAAGTTTCAATTGAAGAATTTTATACCCTATAGAAACCAATGAAAAAATTCTACAGCCTTAAAAATTACCTCCATTTCTCTATGGCATGCATAAGAACATACTCTGAAGGGTCTAGAAATAATTATAGATTACAAGTATCACTTGTATCAAAAACTTTTCCAATGATAATCTAATAATTATATCTGATGCTCCATAAATCTGCTATAAAAATGGGTAAGAGGAGGGAGAATTGAACAAAGAATATGCAACTAGCATGTTTGATTAAACTTTCCTATTATTCCTAAATTGCCAAATTGGAATTGCCATCAATTAATTCTATCATTATAAGCTGAGGTATAGCTCTTAAAGGATCACAGATTTCATAATTTTTCTAAAGAAAAACATAATATTAAAATACTCAAAGAGCTAAATCTAAATCTAAATCAAAATGATGAAAACTGGTCATCCAAATATGGCTGGTGCAATTTTCATCATTTTTCAACTACTGGCTATAATGGTTGGAGTTGTTAGAGTTAAGATGTTCCTAAGTTTTTACTTTTAGTTCCATGCTATGTTAAGTCCCATCTATTCTTTCTGAAATGGGAATTGATAGAACCCAAGTGTTTGGTGGTTAAAGCTTTCTTGGTAGAGAATGTTTCTCTTTATTCATGCATTATAATGCAGTTAATAGAAAATTCTTTGGCTAAAATCTCAAATTATTATGCAAATTAATATATGGTAATAATAATAAAATACATTCTACTGGTTCTTGGGTCTAGAGTTATTATTAACTCCTATTTCTTGCAATCTGTATGATTTTCTAAAGTAGGTTTAAATTAGGTAAAATATTATGAAGGTGCTATATACTAGGAGTGTACTTACTACATGTAATCCTTGAGTTACGACAGTTCACTTAGCAACCATTTCAAGTTACATTACCCTTCCCAAGTACTTACAACATAGTCCCGAGATTATGTGGTGTTGTAACACTACGGCAGTCGTTCACCCTTATGAATGACCACAGAGGCACTGCAACATTCGTCTTGCGTATGTCCCCACAGAGGGTATTCACAGGCACTGGGCCTGTGGAGACTCACTTATCTTGCAAACATCTAGTGAGCTGTCTCCTCTCCAGCCTCTTTGCTATGGTTTCTTTGCCTGCTTCAGTGCTTCAAGCCTTCTGTGCATTTGCAGAGAATTTGCTATTGATCTCACGCTACTTCAGGCCTCCGTTCTCTGCAAATGGAGGCCTGAATAAGATTCATGTCAAAAGGCTTTGCAAATGGATGGGAGGCTTTGTGCTTCAAGCCTTCTGTCCGTTTGCTGTTTCCTTGTGAAGCCTGCAGGGGTGAGATTTTCCATCCCTGCAGGCTTCGGTCATCTTTGCAAAAAGCTTTTGGTGCGAAGAATGGAGGCCAGAGGGGGTGTGCGTGCTGCTCCCAGCCTCCTTTCTTTGTGCCAAAAGCTTTTTGCAAAGATGACTGGAGCCTGCAGGGACACAGGCCAAACAAAAAAAACAAGGCAGAGAGGCCGGAAAGGACACAATTCACTTGATCATGGGGATTTTCAAAAGGTGAATTTACACAGGCCCAGTGGGACAGGATGGGAGGGGGAAGCACTAGCTCCCTCCACATGGTCTTCCCTACCATCAGACACCTCAAATGCATTTAACGACCTGAACATTCGATTAGCAAATGCACTGGGTAAATCAGAATTCCTCGGGTTACAAATGTAATTGGCAGGCTCTATTACATTCATAAGTCGAGGACTACTGATATAATGCTTCATATTATCCATTTATGTATCCCACATTCAGATTGTTAGAAATAATCTCTGAACTCATTTTCCATTTCATGAATGACAATCCATCCTTACAGCAATGTAATTCCACATAGTCCTATTAGTACCCTGCATTGGTAGGGCAGCATTAGAAAATCTTTGTTCTTATATTGCTATGAGGTATTAGAAAAAATTGTATTAATTTCATGGAGAAACTCGTCAGAGTAGAAGATTGGGAAAAACAAAACTGAAGCTATCAGTCCTAAGCAATTATACCAACTGTATGCAGGACCACAACCCAACTTATTTGAGTTGAAGAATTACTAAAGACTATATTATACCAACATGGACAGTAAACAGCAATGAGGTTTTATGCCATAGACAAAACAACACATTAAATCTGTTTTGTCCTAAACTCATAAATCTTTATAAACCTATCCACATTTAAAGAATCTATTGAAATGAGTGAGTCTAATTAGATAAAATGATTTAATGATTTAAAAGAATTTTAAGAAAACTATATGAAGAAAACAATGTTAACTTATACAGATATGTTTTTATACCAAATAGTAAACCCTAAAAGGCTATTTTTTTCAATTATTTTTCAGTCTATAACAAATTTAACAAATTACTGAGATTGTTGGACACAGAATATCTTCATTTATGATCAGTATTTCAAGATAAAGTCGTCAATCCGGGAAATAAAGAAAACTCCACATGAAGCTAGACATGCAGCTATATAAACAAGCATAATTTTTAAAAAGTTTCTGTGATAGGATGTTTCATTTTCAACTAGTTAGATTATGTCTGTGCATTGGAAACTTTTAATAAATAAATATCCAATTCCTCTCTGCCCTATTTGGACCCCAAAGCATGTTTATTGCTCTGGATTTTAGGGAGAACAAGTAAGAAAATAAATATAGCTTTGATACAGTAGTACAGAACAATGCACCTAGGCATTTTAATGGTTTGACGAAATAGTTTCTGTAGAACAGTGGTTCTCAACCTTTTTAATGCCGCGACCCCCAACCGGTCATAAGTCGAGGACTAAACCGGTCGTAAGTCGAGGACTACCCAACCGGTCGTAAGTCGGATGATTTCATCTGGAGGTTCCATGTAGATGAGCAGGCCGACCACCAGCTGGCCCAGCCCAAGGGAGGTAAGGCACCCGCTGGAAAAGGGGAAAAAAATGGCGGACAGCCTTGCTTGGCGACCCCGTGAAATGGTCGATCGACCCCAAATGGGGTCGCGACCCATAGGTTGAGAACCGCTGCTGTAGAACATTATCTGAGAGCAGTCTTGTCTACATTTTTATATGTAATTGTTCAGATCCCAAATATTTAAAAATTAGCTACTATCAATCATTATTCCCCTTTTTAAACTTTGGTTGCTTACTTGCTGGAGACAAAAGTTTTTGATCTAATCATATCTGAACTATATTAGCTGTCAATTTGTTTACAGGTTTAATTTAAGGCACTAATATTGATCTTTAAACCTTGCATGTTTGGAATCTAGATAATTGCTTCTATATGTTTCTCTCATAATATTACTACAGGATATTACTACAACTGCAAAGCCTACATTTTTTGATGGTGGCATATATTTTATTCTGCCAAAAAATATGTGCCATACCTTACATTTTAAACACTGTATGGAATTTAACTCAGCAAAAAGGGATTTAGGCTTTGAATGGGTTGGATGGAATAGTATTTGGTATTTAGTCTAAAAGAGAAATGCTACACTTACAACACACATACGCACACACACACACACTTGTGGTATGCTGTTATTTTTCTAATTGCTATCTATGAATAATATTAAATTCACAAATCAAGTTTTTATTTAAATCACCATTGCTATTTCTAATTTTATGGAGAAAAATAGAACTACTTTAAAGCAATAGTAATAGCACTTAGCTTCACGGCGCTTTACAGTCGTCTCTAAGCAATTTACAGAGTCAGCACATTGTCCCCAATAATCTGGGTTCTCATTTTACCAACCTCGGAAGGATGGAAGGCTGAGTGAACCTTGAGCCCCATCAGAACTTTTATGCACATTTTTGGCGAGAGTCTTGTTTAATTTTTGTTTTGTTTTCTCTTTTTTTTGCTGCAGTTTATATTTTAACTTTGGAAATAAAATAAAAACTTTATTGGAAAGCATTCATGCCACTATGGATAAGAATAAATAATATTGCTTTATGGGTGAGACATTAATAAAATTCTGAATTGTGATGGAACAAAGAGACTGAAATAGTATTGAAATAAAAATCCATGCTCAGTTAAAAGCCATGTACTTACTGTGATGTTTAATGTTGCAGATATTTGTCAGTATGAAAAGCAAAGGTAATAATATCAGGGTGCAAACACTTTCACTATTAATTTTACATAAATGATTCTCACTAGTAAATGAACAAAAATGCCAGCAACAGTTGAATTTTTAAACTGAAAACATTTTTATCAACCTTACGTTATGCTAGGGCCAATGATGTTCACATACCTCATAAAGAATTTGTTTTATTTAAAACAGTTCCCAAAATAAATAGTATTATTTTTGCAAGACAAATATTCATATAAGATGGTAAAGATAAGTTCAACTGGCAATATACAATATCAAACATTTTTCCTATTGTATGTTATCTATTAGTATGCAGTGTTGGTCTCTATACAATTGGTCCATAAACAGCTATATCCTGCAATACGTTACATTAGCCTATTTGGACTAAAATATGGGTGCTTCTGCTTTCAAAATGGCAAGAAGAATCTTTGACAAAAAAACGTTCCCACCAGGTTTTCATAAGGAATGCACACACACACACACAAATACCAGAAGTAATTTATGAAATGTGTAGTAAAAATCTTGAAAACAATGGACTGAAATCTGAAGCACATAAGGGAACCAATATATATAGCACAAATTCAAGTAATTTCAAGTAGTATGTTGTCTGTAACCTATTGAATCACTTATAGTATTTCAAAACGGATCAAACTACTAAGCAATACATACACATATTTGAGATTAGGTTTAACTAAAATCAACACAACATGCACAAGATTGCATTCTGTAGTACAGTCTGTTTGGATGAGATAAATTCTATTTACTCGAATAGATCCCGTTCCTCATTCTGCCAATCAATCATGAGAAGCCCTTATTGAAACAGTAATGTACTTCTACTGTACTCCAACCATTTGCATTTTGAGATAGAATAACCTGGAAGGCAGCATGATGCCTGCTATTTTATGAGCCTTTAAAAATGTTAGCAGGATGTCAGAATATTTACCCCCAAATAATTCTCCAGAACCAGGCGGAAAATGCTATAGCACCATCTAAATTACCACTTACTTTGTTAACTGCCCTTTGTTTTTGTTGTTATCAACTCCATTGTATGTTACAGCTGCCAATTTTCTGCTTCTGTAATTCTCATAATGGACATTATTAGTGACATCTTTCAGATCTTGCATGTGAGTTCTAGGAAAAGAAATCAAAAACCCATCAGCAACTTATTTCCTGGGTAGTATCAAATAAATGCCATATATAAGCAACAGTGTTAAATTTTGCTTTCATAGAATGTTGAAATGGTTTTTCAAGAGTTTGTTTAAAAACTGAAATACAGATAGCCCTCAACTTACAAGAGTTCATTTAGTGACCATTCAAAGTTACAATAGCACTGTGATAATTTTTCACACTTCTGACTGTTGTAACATCTCCATGGTCATGTGATCAAAATTTGGATGCTTGGCAACTGGTTCATATTTATGACATATTTATGAGTTGCAGTGTCCTGGGGTCATGTGAACAGGTTTTGCGATCTTCTCACAAACAAAGTCAATGGGAAAGCCAGATTCACTTAACAACTGTGTTACTAACTTAACAACTGTAATGATTCACTTAACAACTGTGGTTAGAAAGGTCATAAAAAGGGGCAAAACTCACTTAACAAATATCTCACTTAACAACATAAATTTTGGGCTCAATTGTGGTCGAAGATTGAGGACTACCTGTATTGTAGTTACCGTAAATTAGTTCAGGACTGGAAAATTCTACATCTGTACACCCAAAGGGCAGAATACAACATTATTCTGTGGTGCAAACAATATTGATTTTATTTTAAATTATATCCAACAATTTCCCAAATGTATTATGTGAAAATGGAAAATAAAATGTTATCAAGGTTTTTTAACTCTTTCTTTCCTATTCTTTCTGTCTTTGTACTTGTGCCATCACACGTTACCGTTCACTAAAAATATGAACAAGTGCTCTTTTACTCACAGAATGTAGGAAAGATCCAAGAAGCGGAATAACTTAAAAATGTATTGCCAATATTAATGTTATAGACTACTTGTTTACCTTATCAACATGTTCCTTAGAATTGTGAAGTCACAGTGTTCGCCATTCTCAACTGCATGAAAAAAATGCTCAATTTTAAGACATTTTAATTAGTTTCAGATGGGCAAGCTGCAAATTAAATCCTGTATTTGCCATTAGTAATTTTCCTTGCTGCTTAGTAATTCAAAAGATACATCCATGTTATTTTTGTTACAACAATATTGATATGCTTTGCCATTGCCTTATTTCAGGAAGTTTTTATAACTTCCCACTCTAGCATATAGCTCTGTTTGCCTATAGATTCCCCATTCAGGTATTAACCAGGTCCAATTCTGTTGAGCTTCTTTTAAGATCAATAAAAAAGGTAAAAACAAACTTAATAAATGTAATGTTGCATTATTAAAATGTCATAATTATCCAAATTTACAATTAGAGAAATAAAAAAGTGTAAAAAAACAAATATGAAAGTTAGCTGTAGTCTAACAAATACATAATAAAATTATGCTGTGCTTCTGATTCAAAAGCAAAACGATGCTCTAGACTGTTAAAATGAACTGATAAGTTTTAAAATTATTAAAATATCGACAGTATAATTCTTTAATTGAATATCTCATGAAATTCTCAATTTACATACCTATGAGTCTTGTGTAAAAGATGTAAACTATAATTCAGGGTACTGTTATGTGGAGAGGGAAGGGGAAGTGGGGAAAGTCTGTAACTCTGTCTTGCTTTTCTGAAATTGTAATATTCCTATAAAGATATAGCTTATTGCCCAATTATGTATCTTACACTTTCTATTCACTTACCTTCTGCAACACCCCAAGGATACTGTCTTCCCCTAACTCTCTTCCCGTTGACCTCAATAATAGTATTGCTACCTACTACCGCAAGAGGTAAACGGTCCTACAAAAGAAACAGAATATTTTTTTCCTAAAATAACTTATTGACAGGTTGGACAGAAAGTACAACTTTTTGTACTGCTCAAATAAAACTAAGTGACAAAGGAGATTAGAAAAAAGAGCTAATACAAGACGAACTATAAATCTAAAACAGAATATCATCTGGTAACAAAACTAAAAAGTTTTCTGTCCAAGATTGGTAATGTGCTGATGGAACTGAAGATTATATGTTCACTTTCTTTAATTTTAATCCCATCCACAGGAAGACCGAACTATTGGATTGGTCTGTCCCTGGCAATTAATGGCCCCAATTGGATTTCAAAGCAGCTGGGGCAAATACTTGATTTGCTAAACACTCCTGCTGAGGCTATGGCTCTGACAGAATAGTGGCTATGTGGCCTCTCTTGGCCCATCACTCCAGTTAGTCTCTGTGGCTATGGAGTTGAAAACAGTCAAGAGACATCTAGAGCACTGCTGGAGGAAAACAAAGAATGAATATAACCAAACACGAGTTAAAGCCACTATTAAGGCTTACCTCATGGCAGTAAGAGCGGCAAAGCATCAATACCTCTTATTGCATCCATAGAATGCTCCCCCAATGACTCTGTTTAGGGTCATCCAGACTCTCTTTAGAAAGGGGAGTCTGGAAGCAGATCTATAAGATCATATGGAGCAATTTACCATGCATCTGAAGAATAAAATCACTTGAACTTGTCCCCAGTTGGATATCAAGTATGACGTTAAGTCCTGTGGAGATGCCAGATTACCAATTACTAGTTATCTGGGAACGGTTTGACTCTCTTGGATCTGAAGAAGTGGACAGTTTCTTCCAGAATGTAAATGACACCATCTCTATGTTAGATCCATACCCTGACTGGTTAAAACTGCTCAAGAGGTTTTGCGTCTAAGCGATGGTCAATCCCTCCATGCTGGAGGGGGTGTTCCTGTCTCCTTTTAAAGAAGGAAGCCATCATTGGACACTACCTTTCTGGACAACTTTCATTCAATCTCCCACCTGATTGAGAAAGTGGTGGTTTTTCTACTCCAGAGGATCCTAGAGGGAACAGATTATTTGCACCCTTCAGGTTTCAGGCCCAGATATGGGACAGAAACACATTGGTGACACATATGGATGATTCTCTGGCAGAAGCAGGATGGAGTGCATCCATCCTTGCTTTCCCTGACCTCTCAGCAGCTTTCATTACCATCGACTATGGTATCTTTTTGAGCTGACTTGGAGTTGGGGATGGGTGGCATAGTTTTCTGCTGGTTGGCCTCCTTCCTCCAAGGCTGGAGGAAGTGAGAAGTCCAGCTCATGACCCGTACTTTGTGAAGAGCCACAGGGTTAGGTGCTTTTTCCATTCTTTTTTAACATCTATATGGAACCTCCAGATGAAATCATCCATCACTGAGGGATGAAGTATCACCAGTATGCTGTTGATACCCAATTATAAGTCTCAGTCCTGAGCAAAGTGAGTAATACTGTGGATGTTCTTTTGCAGTGCCTAGCGGCTGAGGCCTGGATGGGGAATAATAGACTTCAGCTAAACCCTGATAGGATAAGAGTGGCTGTGGGTGGGCTCTTCTGCACTAGTTTATCATCTTTGGTTTTGGATGGGTCTGCACTACCCCAGACCCAGTGAATAACCTGAGGATCTCCTCCTTGACTCACAGCTCCTGTTCAAAAAGCAGGTGGCAGCCGTAGGAAGGATCATCTTTGCTCAACTTCGTGTTGGGTGCCTGTTACACACTTTTCGGGATAGGGAAGCTCTCTGTTCATGGCCTAGTCATATCTTGTTGGGATTATTGAAACACATTCTACATGGGATACCCAAATATCTGGAAACTTAAGCTGCTGCAGAATGCAGACGTGTGAGTAAAAGAATGGTGCATATGACATTTTTGTTCGGTAAACTGCATTGGATACTAATTTGTTCTGGGTCCAATTCAAAGTATTTGTTATGACCTTTAAAACGCTATAGCATAGGGCCAAGCTACCCACAATCCATCTTCATTCCATTACCTCTGCCCCTTCCACCCAGTCAGGGAAGGTATACTGCAGGCCCTGTCAGGCAGGGTCAAGGAAGGGTCCAGGAAGACAGATTTCTCTGCCACTGTCTTGCCTCCTGAAGGTGAGAAAATCTCCCCCATTCCTGGCCTTCTGGAAAGTAGTAAATGTGGCTTTGCAGCCTTGCATAGGAAACCCAGAGCAGCACACAACTGTGGGTTAGAGTCCTGAAAATGCTCCCTTCACCTTTCAATAAATTTTTAACAGTGTTTTATTCATCTTAACCTCTTTTAAATTTTTAACTTTTATATACTGTTTTTATATTTTAATATTTTATTGTACATTGGCCAGAATCTCTGTGTGAGGGAGATGGGCAATTTAAATATGTGATAAACATATATAATAATTGCTAAGCCTAAATTGCCACACAATGAGTTTCAATAACATTCCTCAGAATTAAAATGATTTTATAACCAATATATTTCATGCAAAATCACACCACAACCATTTAGAACCAAATAATAAAATGATTAGACAGATGACTGAATGATTGGGAAATCACAAGGATAAAAAAAATCTAAATATATTTCTAAGTATATTTATCATCAGCTCACTACATGACAGTGCAGCAATCTACCATAAGAGGGCACTACAGCCTCTCATTTTAAAATCTTACATGTTAAAAAATAAGAAATATTCCAACAATCCATTAGGCTGAAAATATCAAAAACAAAATATTTGAACATGATTGTTAATTAAAAAAGAAGAGAGGATTCAGATAAGATTCATCATTATTTTCTTTTGTAGCATATTTCCTTTATTACTAACCAGTAATAAACAATCACTACAATAAAGAGTAAAAAAGCAAGGACATTTTATAAATAAAAATAGTTTAGTAGGCTTGAGATATTAAACAACAATCAAAATGTTCCCTAGTAATCTGATACTATTATGATATGCGTCAAAGTGTATAAAAGTTTATATATATCAGAGTGTTCTTGGTAATTTGACTAAAGCCAAGAGAGATATCTGATACATATTCTTTTGTGGAATGACTCTATCTATTAAAATAAAACCCACTTGCACAGACATGAAAGTGTTTCAATATATTTTGGTACCTTAATCTTTTTAACAATCTTATTTTCTTCTTCATCATCTGTTTCTGGGAATTCATATATTTTAATTTTGTGCTCTTGGATTTCTTTCATTATCTAAACATAAAAATATTTTTTAAAAGAAACTGTAACAAGCGTTGAATATATTAATAAAATATGCTGATGAATTTTGTTTTTATGTATTAAAGATGAACACCTCAAATTTATGTCAAAATATGGATACAACTTCCATAATTACAATGTCTTTTGAAATTCAGGTTATGCATTTGTCATTTTTCAAATAAAGCTGTAGTTTCTGCTTTTCCCATTCACAGTCATCCCACTCTCATTCCAATTCACACAATATAGCAATAAACTACTCAGAAACATTACTACACCACTCCTATAAAAGTATCATAGGAGGTTTTAATATTCTTCTCACAGTTTTAAGAATAAATTGTAAGTATTCAAACTGATGTCTTTCACAATTGCTTCAAAACCTTATATATGTCTAAATTACTAGATTTAGATCTAGTTTTGCATTCAGAAAACTGCACATTATTAAATTAAGTTTCCATTCTGACAGGTAAACATAGTCATCCTTATAGAAACCTCAATCAAATGCAATGTATTATTTTTCAAATCACAAATATATCATCTCCCACAATAGACATTATAACAGTAGTATGTATTTTATACAAACATGGCAAATTTTGGTAATTATGCATTTCTATATGTCTGTCTAGGTATTCATCCCTCTCTCTCTGTGTGTGTGTGTGTGTGTGTGTGAGAGAGAGAGAGAGCGAGGGAGGGAGGGAGGGAGGGGAGAGAAAGAGGGAGAGAGAGAGACAGAGAGACAGATTGTGTGTATGTGTTGTGAAGTATTCTTGTCTAAAAAAATTAATTCATGATATAACATCAATTTATATAGGTAGCCTTGACTTATGATCAGAATTGGATCCAAAATTTTGGTTACTAAGTGTTGTGGTCATTAAGTGAGTCCTCACATGACCAGATCCAATTTTATATGACCATTTTACCCTAATCATTAAATGAATCCCAGTTGTTAAGCAAATCATGTGGGTCATTAAATGATTCAAGCTGTTGTTAAGCAAATCCAGCATCCCCAATTGACTTTGCTAGTTAGAAGCTGGACAGCAGTTACAAATTGTGATGTGATAGCAAGATGCTGCAACTATCACAAATGCAAACCAGTTACTAAGAATCTCAATTGCAATCACATGACCACAGGAGTGGTGTGATAACAGCAACTTTTAAGGATGGGTCGTAAATCACTTTTTTCCAGCCATAATTTCAAAGTCATCAAATGAACAGTTCTAAGTCAAGGACTACCTGTACATAATTTTTTTTTAATCAAGCTCTATTATATCATTCATGTTATGCCTTCAGGAAAGAAAGGGGCGTTGTCTTACCTGAACGCCGTTTCTCAGCACGGAGATGGATAATCCACTAATGGGTTAACTTAATCCTCCTGCCCAATCAGATCAAGTCAGCCAAACTTGCCACGCCTGTCCTGGGCCTGTTTCCCCAATTTTCGACGAGGATGTAGCTACTGACAACATGACGTGTTGGCTCACAGAAACTAGCCCTTAGGCCTAAGGACCTACTTGGGTGGGTGTGGATTATCCATCTCCGTGCTGAGAAACGGCGTTCTGGTAAGACAACGCCCCTTCTCCATCACTGGAGATGGATAATCCACTAATGGGACATACCAAAGCCCACTGTCCTTACGAGAGGGAAGCGGGCAAGTTTGGAACCGTGTCGCGAGGCACCACCTGTTGGAGGACCCTCCTGCCAAAGGATGTCTCGGTGGATGCGTACCTGTCCAGTTTATAGTGCCGAATAAATGGTGACAGGGAAGACCATGTGGCCGCCCTACATACTTCCTCAATGGAAGCCTGTGTGGCCCAAGCCGCGGAGGTGGCCGCACTGCGCGTAGAGTGGGCTGTGACACGGCGTGGTGCTGGCAAGGAATTGGCCTGGTATGCCCCCACAATGCAAGCTCTTATCCAACGACCGATTGTGGAGGCTGAGACCTTCCGACCCTTGGAGGAAGGGTGGAAGGAGACAAAAAGTGCCTCAGAGCTGCGGGAGGTGGCCGTCCGTTTGATGTAATAACGAAGAGCCCGGCGGACGTCCAGAGAATGCCATTGACATTCCAGATCATGGGACGGGTTAGGGCAGAAATCAGGGAGGACGATGTCCTGGGTCCTATGGAAGAGAGAGTTAACTTTGGGGACAAAGGTGGGGTCTAAGCGAAGGGTGACCCGATCCCGGTGAAAGACACACAGATCCTCCCTGACTGAGAGAGCCGCCATTTCAGAAATCCGCCGGGCTGAGGTAACGGCCACCAAGAAGGCGACCTTCAGGGATAAGGACCTCATGTCGCACGAACTGAGGGGCTCGAAGGGAGCCTTGGTAAGAGCCTGAAGGACCCTAGGTAATTCCAACGAGGGGTACCTGTGGACCACGGGAGGCTTGGTATTAGTAGCTCCCTTGAGGAAAGAACGGATCAAGCGGTGCTGCCCCAGAGAGTTAACAATATCGCAAGAAAGCAAGGTAGAAAGGGCCACCACCTGTCTACGCCAGGTATTAGGTGCCAATCCTTTATTCAGCCCCTCCAGTAAATAGTCAAGAATATGTGGGACGGTCAATCCCGATAAGGGTAGTTGATGAGTGGAACACCACCGGCAAAAACTCTGCCACGTGGCATCGTAAATGTGGTTAGTAGCCGATCTACGGGATGCCTGAATTACGTCAATGACCCCTGGCGAACAGGACTCCTGGGTTAGGATCCGGCATTCAAGTGTCAAACGGCTAACTGGAGCCAATCGGGGTCCGGGTGAGTCAGATCCCCCTGGGTCAGTGCTACCCTGTCTGGGGAAATTTTCCAAGGGCGCAATTGGGAAAGACCAATGAGATCGGCGAACCAAGGTCTCCGTGGCCAGAAGGGGGCTACCAGGAGAACCTCTGCCCTCTCCTGTAGAAGCTTGTGGATGACTGCTGGGAGGGGAACGGGGGGAAAGGCATAGAGTAAGCCATCCGGCCATGGAGCCTGAAGGGCGTCTACTCCCTCTGCCCCCTGAACTGGAAATCGCGAAAGGAACCACGGAAGTTGCGCGTTTGTCTTGGAGGCAAACAGATCTATGCTGGGAAGACCGAATCTTGGGTAATTTCCCTGAATAACTTCGGGTGTAGACGCCATTCCAAGTGGTCCACGGTTGACCTGCTCAGGAAGTCTGCCCTCTTGTTTGCCTCCCCTGAGATGTGGTCTGCCCTGAGCGAGGCAAGGTTGGTCTCTGCCCAGGAGCCCAGCTGCTGGGCCTCGGACAGGAGCGCACGGGACCGAGTGCCCCCGTCGGTTCACGTGGGCCTTCGCCGCCACGTTGTCCGTAAGGACAAGCACATGTTGTTTCGCTATGCTGTGGCGAAAGTTTATTTATTTATTTATTTATTTATTTATTAAATTTATATACCGCCCTATCTCCCTTACGGGACTCAGGGCGGTGAACAGGCGATACTAAAAACCACAATAATAAATAAATAGTTTCTGTGCTAAAATCAAATTAAATAACAGGCCTGTTCTAAAAACACCCCATACAAAACCCCCACTAAAATATAATCAAACTACGCCAGGCCGGCTGCACGGAATAGATGGGCCTTCAGGGCTCGGCGAAAAAGGCGCAGGTCCGCAAGTGGCGAAGGGCTAGATGTATGGTCCTGAGCTCCAGCCAGTTGATACTGTGTCTCAGGTCCGACCGAGACCACCGTCCTTGGGCCCATTGAGACTGATAGTGTGCTCCCCAACCAAACAGGCTGGCGTCCGTCGTGATCATGAGCCGACCAGGCTCCTTGAAAAGAGACCCTCTGGTCATGGCTGGGGAGAGCCATCATCTGAGGGAACGTAGGATGTGTGGTGAAATCCTTACCGCTCGGGTGGAAGTGCTTGTTCCCTGCTTCTGATAGGGGAGCAGAAACCACTGAAGGGATCGCGAGTGTAATCTGGCCCAGGGAACGATCGAGATGCATGATATTATCTTTCCCAGGATGGAAAGGCCGGAAGGAGACAGGGTCTTTTCTCTGCAGACCTTGAGAACCAGGTCCCGTATACTGTCCCTGCGTTCCTGGGACAGATAAACCCGACACTCTACTGTGTCTATGATGGCCCCTAGCTGGAGCAATCTGGTCGATGGGAGTGTCTGACTTTTCTTGAAATTGACCGAAAAGCCGTGACTCTGTAGGACTCCGATCACCAGTCTCAGGTCTGTCAGAGCTCCCTGTGGGGAGGCCGACTGTATTAATATGTCGTCCAGGTAGCATTGCACTCGAACCGGCATTAATCTCAGGTGTGCCACAAGAACTGCCAGGACCTTGGAAAAGACCCTTGGGGCCGATGACAGGCCGAATGGAAGTTACCTGTACTGGTAATGATGCCCCATGTAACTGAACCTGAGAAACTGGCGATGGCCGGGGATGATGGGAATGTGGAGGTATGCCTCTGTGAGGTCCATTGAAGTAAGAAAGTCCTCCTTTCGGACGCTGCCTAGGATGGACTGAAGTGTCTGCATTTTGAACCTTCGGTATGCTAGATAAAGGTTCAGGCATTTTAGGTCTAAGATAGCCCTCCATCCTCCCGAGGTCTTGGGGACTACAAAGAGGATGGAGTAGAATCCGCGCCCCCGTTGAGCCGCAGGCACCGGTTCTATGGCTCTGATGTCTAATAAATGCCGGATGGCCTCCTGCATAAGACCTCTCCTTTGAGACTTTTTTGATTGGGGACAAGCAATGAACTGTCTTGGTGGACTGGAAATGAATTCCAGAGACAGGCCGTGCCGGATGGTGTCCAGGACCCAGGCACCTGTGGTGGTGACCTCCCATTGAGTGATGAAGAGGGACAGCCTTCCCCCTATGGGAGGATCCAGTGGGGGGGGGTTACTTCTTACGGAAGGGACCCCCGCCTCGAAAGGGCCGTTTGGACTGGAATTGCTGCCTGGACCGTGGGGCCGGCCTGTCAGCCGGACGGTCCTGCCTGGGAGTGAAGGACCGGGAAGGTTGTGTGGTTGGAGAAGTAATGGCAGGCCGAAAGAACTGTCTAC